AAATAATAATAGCCGTAGAAACATGATATTTTCAATGTTTCATTAAATTTAAAAAATATTTTGACTCTTTTTGAGCTTTGAAATTTTTTTTTATTTTAATCTCGATAAAAGTGAAAATTTAACACAAGGTTCTTCATAAGTTATCTTGTTGTTGTAACTCGTAATTTACAATCATAATCATCAAAATATACATTTATTTCCATCACTGGTAATTTTAAGTTGATAATATGTAAATGCATTGTTTTTTTACAAGTAATATGAATCCAACCTATTGGCTACCTTATTATTACTGATTATATATATTACCGCATTATAAATAAAATATAAAATGCCCTCCGCTAACAGACCATCTCCACTCGGAATTGATTATTTTTTTACAATAATTGAATATGTCATTGGATTCAAATTTACCATCATCCATTATAACAGTGACCCACTCAAAGCTTACTATATAGCTGAGCGACATCCACTTCAATATTTTTATAATTATTTTAGTATAATAGTATAAATAGTATAATATGAAATCTGCATTCATTTTGGGTAAATAAAACCAAGCCCGGATTAAGGGAGGCCATGGCCATGGGCCCATAACGGATATTCAATAATAGTGGTCCCCTTGCGAATAGTACTTTTTTTTCATTGAATTAGAAATATTTGGATATAGTAATAAATAATAATAGTATATTTTATAAATCAAAAGAAACATGTACACTGGACACTGGTATATAATATTTATTATTCAAGATAAAATTTTTGGAGGTAATTAATAYCGATGATATAATTAAAGAGTTTGGTGCCCAAAAATCAAGAAAAACTTATTTATACTCATACAAATTTTATTTTTGTAGGTTAAAATTAAAAAATAAAAATAAATTTATAAATATTATGTTTTTTTGTCTTAATTATTTTTATTTATGGGTTACCAAAATTTTGATTATGGTTATGGCCTATGGGCCCTAAAATTGTTTGGCCCTAAAATTGTTTGGCCCCAGGTCCAAAACTATCTTAATTCGGGCTTGAATAAAACTATAATTAGAGTATCTTAAATCGTTAATGTTTTATATACAGTTACCCATACTCTATTAACGAAAAAGTCAAAGAAAAAATTCCGATTAATCATTTTATAGTCATGAAATCAAAAATCGTGTATTGTATTTATTGTACTATTAATTGTACCATTGATTAAGTATACCTACTTAATCAATGATTGTACTATTGTTAATTTTTGACATTGTGTTATCAGGATCTAAGATTATCATGTTTTATCATCTTATACGTGGTGGTCACTGAATGATTTTGTTATCTATCACACAAATATATAATAACCACAACGGTATTATGTTTAAGATTTACAAATCCGGAAGTTCATGTTTCAATCATTTTATAATTAYAATAGTTCTAGCCCTCCGTGCTAGCAATACTTAGTATTGTAAGAATATAATTATTGCATATTGCATGTTTACATTGCTCATTTTATTGAAGCGTCGGTCGTCATTATGTAGTTTTTCATCATACATTTTATTAATAACAATATGATCGGGGATCTCAGTTAGTTATGTTGTGGACTTGAATTTTACCTGTGTATTTGTAATTATRTTTTAATATAATTTTAATTTAAAAACATAGTAAATACAATTGTCTTTTTTTATATTTAGTAATGAATTATTTTCCCAAAAGTTAATTAAAAATGAACGGATACAAATTTTTTTTATTTGGTTGCTTGTTTACATCACTTACTTGGTCTCTAAGTTTGTATATGTATTGGAAACTCAATACCAGGCCTCATAATTACTCACATGTACAACAGTTTCGAAAAGAGAATACTTTTGAGTATGTGAAAAAACAGAAATCTAAATACTTTAAGAATCATATGGACAAAAATGGTTAGTGTACATGCATGTTACTTATCTTATTTAAAATKTTATTTGTAAATCTTAATGTACAATATTATTTTTGTATAGATCTTAATGATCTAGGAATCATTAAAACTGAAGACGATTTAGCTATCAGGGATAAAGGATACAAAGATCATGGTTTCAATGCTTTGGTTAGTTTAAGATTAGGTAATTATCGTGATACTTTACCTGACACTAGGCATCAATTGTAAGTTAATGTTGAGTTTGATTAATATAAAACATAAATTTATACATAATAAATAATAATATATTTTAAACTTTATTTTTTACAGATGTTCAACGATAAAGTATGATCAAAACTTGCCCAGCGCTAGTATTATAATTTGTTTTTATAATGAACACCCACAAGCTCTTTTTAGAA